AATAGGCCAAGAGTCCGCCGATAATTGACATTGAGGTGTAAGAATTCCTGATGATCTTTGTCAGATGCCCTTGTCAGTCGGGTGTTGGCGACCATAGGCGTTGATGTAGTTCTGCACTCAACCATGTTGTGATCCGCCAGTATCTTCTTGGTGTATGTTTCCTGAGACATGTAGAGTTGTTTTGCCCCGTGTCTAGTGAGTGTGATCCCTAGCAGGTGTTGGGCCTCTCCAAGATCTTCCATGGTGAATCTGGCCGATATGAGTTTCTTGAAGCGTGCCACATCATGACTGATTATGATCATGTCGTCGACATAGACATGGACGAAGCACTCCCAATTTTCGACTTGTGAGACAAACATACACGGGTCCGCCGCCGAGGATCGAAAATTGATAGACGAAAAGAATGCCTTCAGGGCTGCATACCATACGCGAGGAGCTTGCTTCAATCCGTATATGGCTTTCTTGAGTAACAAACAGTGACCGTCCGGAACCTTCAGACCTGGCGGTGGCCGTAGATAGACTGTTTCTTCGAGATCACCGTTTAGGAAGGCGTTCTTAGCGTCCATTTGATGAATGTCGTACCCTTTTGACAATCCCAATGTGAGTGCGGCTCGCAGACTTGCCGCACGACCTGTTGGTGCGTAAGTAAACGGACAGTCTTCTGCTGCTTGTCTACTACCTTGAGCGCATAAGCGTGCTTTGAACTTCAAGAATGTGCCTTGGGTATCGGACTTCTTCCGGAATACCCAAACTGTGCCGAGTAGCTTCGCTCCACGAGGCATTTTAACCACTCTCCAAACGATAAGCCGTTCCATTGCTCCTAGTTCGGATTCAATGGCTTTCAGCCATTCAGCCGCTTCGGGTGATTCGATTGCTTGTCGATAGGTTTTAGGAACCTCCGCCACAAAGAACGCTACGGCTATGGCAGCCCTTCGCTTGTAGTTGAGTATTTGAGATTCATCAATGTCACCGTTGATATCCCTTGGAGCTTTGTCTGACGTGAGTAGATAGTCATAACCTGGTTTTGCTGGTGGGACAACCGGTGGCCGACGGGTTTGAGTTGAAGATCCTTGTTGCATATCTCCTTGTTGATTGGTTGATGGCAATGACTGAGAGCGGTTGCTGTCTTGAGGAGAGGATTCTTCAACCTCGGATTGAGAGTCTACCTGATCCGCGGCGCTGTGAAAATCCTCTTCCAAGGATAACGTATCATCGTTGATCTGTTGAATTTCCTCCGGACCTTCGGGCTCTATGATGTCTTTGATTTCCTCAAAGTCGGGAGGCAAAGGTGGACTGGAAAGTTCTGATAGATCAGCTGAGGAGAAAAGGGAGACTCCTGGGAAGCTAGTCTCGTCGAAGTTGACGTCGTGACTACGCTCGACCTTTCCTCCTGATGTTAGAACACGCCAGTTATGCATTCCCAGCTGGTATCCCATCAGTAATCCTCTCTTTGCCGTATCACCTAGCTTGCCGTCTCTAGTGGTTTTCGGAAGATTGAAGTAGGCCAAGCACCCAAAGGGCCGAAGCCTGCCAGTGTCGAACTTAGATCCGAACCATAACTCATGAGGTGTTTTCCAACCGATGGTACGAGTTGGAGTGATGTTTTCGAGAAAAACCGCTGTCGACACTGCTTCTGCCCAGTACTCGGGAGGAAGCTTGGCCTGACGAAGCAGTGCTCGAGTCTTTTCACTTGTGGTGCGATTTCCTCGTTCGGCAATCTAATTTTGCTGCGGGGTATGTGGGGCCGTCACTTGGATTTGAATTCCTTTTTCTTTCAGAAATGCTGTGAATTCCTTCGAGTTAAACTCCCCTCCCCCATCAAAGATCACTGTGTTGATGTTTGCAGAATGATGGTTGGTAACCTCCGCGTAGTATTGCATGAAGAATTGAAAAGTTTCAGATTTTCTAGACAACAAGTAAACATGACGATAACGTGTGTGAAGATCGGTTATCTTGAAGTAGTATTCAGCTTTTCCAAAAGATGGAGGATTGATTCTTCCGCTCAGGTCCATAAAGACGTACTGAAGCGGTCGAGAAGAAGACGGAAGTGATGAGGGATATGGTAGACGATGTGACTTGGACATCAGACAATGATCGCATTTCAATATCTGTGGTGATATGCCATACATCCTGCTCATAGCCTCTGGTCCGCAGTGTCCCGATCGGCTGTGAAGTAGTTGATAGTCAGCTGTTGTCACCTTCCGAGCGGATGGCGATGTTGAAGACTGACCTGATTTCGCTAACTTGATGTGAACGCGGAGTGTTGTATTGACGATTGAAGCCGTAAAGATAGTCTGACCGTTTCGGATCACAACTAGTCCATTGGTTTCGGAATCGCGCAATTTGCACTGATGCTCAAGAAGCCGACATAAACTGATCAGAGTGCCATTCAACTTCGGTACATGCAATGCCTTGAGCTTGATGATTTCATTGTTCTCGGCCAGGATTTGAACAAAGCCTTGACCAACGACCTCTAAGGTGTTACCGTCGGCGATTTCAACCTTGGCCGACTTCGGATGGTAATTGATGAAGGCCGATCTGTCGGAGAACATATGTGCTGATGCTCCACTGTCGAGGAATGCCGAGTCAGGATCGGATGGCATGGATGAGAGCCGGGCTGAACAACGTAGACCGTTTTCGGTTTGAAGTGACGTGTCGGTTTCATCCGCGTCTGAGTCGACAGTGGATGCAACCTTGGCTGCCTTTTTCTTCTTCAGCTGTCGGCAGTCTTTGGCCTCATGACTAGTCGCCGGATTGTGCCTCCCCGGCTTGCAGCGTGGATAGTCGCGGCTGTTGTTGGACTTTCCTGCGGTCAGTGCAGTATCCTCGGTTTTGATGATGGGTGCCGAAGACGAAGACGTTGTCGTTGATTCACGCTCCTTATTTTCGAGAGCGTTTCGGACCATCTCGATGGTGAGAGGACGCTTGTTCCAGAGAAGCTCCTTGGTGTTTTCAGAACTCTGCGGGTAGCTTACCGACGATACTTCAGCGAAGA